TTCAACCTTAACAGCATACCCAGAAACACTTCTCGGAACAATGTTTCAAGAACGTAATGCTGAACTTTTACACCCAATAAAAGAAAACGAGTACTTTATCGACAGAAATGGCCGCGCATTTCATTACATAATGGAATACTATCGTACTGGAAAAGTAGTATGGGGTGGTGCAGGCAGTGATCGAAAAATCACTCGTCGAGAACTTGACGAAGAACTTGACTACTTTTTAATTCCACCATTGACACCTGCCATCTCACTCGCGATGGATTTCGAAGCATTCATAAAAGCAATGACACAAATCTGTGTACGAGCATTTCATCTGGCCGGCGAGACGAGTATCAAAGTCACTGCTACTACAAATGGACAGTATTTAATTGTCCGATATTTAAATCAGGGCACTAGCGTTCATGTGTCGGTTCCTAGGATCGGAAAAAAGATTTTAAAGATATTTGGTAAGGAGATTCATCAACATTTACAACGGTCGTGGCCTGTTTTAAGGTGGGAACCGCTTGAGATTAAGCACGCGTATATCGTTAACTTATATCTGCGAAAAGATCCAGTTATTTATACGGAAGATCGGCCAAAGTGGCATTAATTAGTCTTTTTATAATGAACAATATCTTAATTGTCATAGTCACGAACATTTGCTTTTGGTTTATCTTTTAAGTACACAAACAATTTTACAATTTTAAACTTTTCTATATACGCTAAAAACAAAAGATTTAATAAGTAGAATTTTAGATGTTCTCCGTTCGTGGGTCACGTGTAGGGACAAACGAGCGAACTAATATAGTTTTTTTTTTACCAAAGAAATACAATAATACGATATGAAATATTGTACGTATTGAATATGCTTAAATATTAAAGTGAATAGCGATATTGAATCCTAGTACGTACGTGCACTGCATCCATTTACAATAACATGCATCAATGAATAAGTTCTGTTTAGTCATCGTACTACAACAATTTTTGGTAACATAAATACTCTAAGGTTGAAAAAAGGGGAAGATCCAGAACTTTATCGCTGTACAATATCGATAACGACGACGTATTATAATACGGTGTAACAATTTTGATTTTCTGGTAACCAATACTAAAAAAACTAAAATTTTGATTTTTCAATTGAAGGATCGCTATTAGTAAAAAGTTCAGCTTATTTAATAAATTTGATCTTTCTAGGTAAATTAACTTCAGTTTTTCCAGACTTATTACGCAATACTGTAACATAAAATTTTCCTTATTTCATAATATATTCTTAATTTATAAAAATTTTAAAACTAAATAATATAATATCTTAATCAGGTAAAAAAATATATTATTTGATTTTTTCTAATCAAGAAATAGAATAATATTTTCATTTAATTTGATTCAGATATTACATGATATTGCGTTTCAAAATTTTTTTAATTTTCTTTAGTTTTTAAAGTTATTGAATTAAAATTATTTTTTTCAAAAAATTTAAAATTGATATACCTGTATTTTATAATTTAACAAAAATTAATAAAATATAATTACTAATTTGTTGTATCTTAGAAATTATAACTAAATTTTTATTTAATTTAGTTTAGTAATTCAAAAAATTTTATTTTTGAATAAAATAGAAATAGTACTTAAAAAAATCAAATTGGATCAGATTTGAAATATATTCAATATGGTTCAAATATAAAAATTAAAATAAAAAATATTCAAATTGGTATTTATATAATCTGAAATTAACTTGATTTGATTATAAATCACTCAAATTTTGTTAAAAATAATTAAATATAAAAAATAATAATAAAAAAAAGTAATTATATATTTCATTATATTATATTATAATATTATATTATATTATATTATATTATATTATATTATATTATATTTTTT